TCGACGGTCGCCTCGCCCATGTCGCCCATCACCCCGAAGCCCGCGCCCGCCCTCCTCCATCCCGACGCCGACGACGAAGTCTTCGACGAAGGGGGTAATGGACGGACCGCTTCAGCAGAGTGGGCAAGTGACTTTTCCGATCGATCGCCTGCCAACCAATTAAGCGAGTGCACTGCGTCATTGACTAGGCCCGCTATGTGCCGCGGCCGCCTCTGACGACCCAGGGTGCGACCCCCGGCCTCTCTCGGCAACGGCTCGTCCACGACTCCTGACTCTAGCGGGAACAGCCGACGCGAATTGGCAGACCAGGGCAGCCTGCCACTCCCAACATGCAACGGGGCGGAGGCGGGAGCCTCTCCTCCGCCCCGACGGCCTCTCTCAACCTCCATCTCCAGGGGCTCGGGCTGCTGACCGTCCGCGCCCTCTCCCCCGGTCGCCGCCGCGGCCTCGGCCGCGCCCAGAGACGTCTCCGGCGCCTTCAAGCGCCCCTTCGCCATCCTGCGTCGGCGGAGCCACTCTGCTGCGGCCCGCCTCCAGCTCGTTCTGGTCCTTGATGCGCCGAACGCCCCACTGCCGCAGCGCGGGGCTAATGGCGTCGAGGTGGCTGGCCGTTCCTTCCAGCACCCCTGCCATCCGCCAGCTCACGGCCCCCGGGGAGCCGTACGCCTCGATGATGCCGTTCACCCTCCTGGTCAGCTTCTGCACCCCAGCCAGGGCCCCCAGGTTCAGCTGGTCATATTCGCCCAGCAGCTTGAGGACCTCGCACCAGGCGACGAGTTCATGGTAGACCTGGTCGCTGCGCTGGATTCCCCGGTCTCAGAGAAAATCCAAGGCCCACCTCCGAGGGCAGCCCCCATACCGCTGCATGTGCTTGCAGAGGTGGATGGCTCCAGGAGGCCCCAGCACGTCATCTGACTTCAGGGGTTCTTGGTACAGCTCGGTGCACAACTTCCGCCAGCTCTTAAAACGGGACCCCTGCTCGTCGACGTCCACCCAGAGAGTGCGACAGTCGTCCTCCGCGATCGGCGGGGCCTGGCCCGAGCCCGCGGGCGGCCCCGCAGGAGCAAGGGGCTCGACGACCTTCCGGACCCGATCGAGCACCTTCTCGGCGAAGTTCGGGGCCTCGACGACGGGCATCGCCTGGACCCGCCAGAGGGACCCGTTGTCCTCGACAAGGGCGTCGCGATCGCTGATGATCACCGACTTGGGGCCGAGGCTGACCTCCGTGCCGACGGCGGCGAAGGCGCCGACCTCCGCCATCACCCAAACGCACCCCGCCCTAATGGCGGGCTGGTCTGGAGCCCCCCCCTTGGGCGTCCGCAGAGCCCGCAGCTGCGGCTCCTCGGGCGCCCCTCGCAAGAGTGCGCCGGCTGACGCCAGCCAAGGGCTTGACCTCCCCCTCGTAATTCAAGAAGTAAGGCATATCCCCTGGCTCCTGATGCGCCCGCAGGGAGGCAGCGATGTCCCGGCACTTCGCTTTCAGCTCGTCGTCCCCCAAATAGTCCTCGTCCCGGAAGCGGTAGAACTTCCCCCGCAGGAAAGCCGGCGTACGGCCATCGTCGTCCAGGACCACCACACCGTCACACATGTCGCCTTCGCCCGTGATGTCCTCCTCGTACACGTCTAGGTCGGGAGTCATCCCGAACCAACTGCTGGTCCGGCGGCCGCCGGACACCGGTCCCGCGCAGATGAGCACTCTCTCCATCCAGTTCGGCTCGCCCGGGTAGTGCAAGGCCAGGCTCTGACCAACCCGGATCTTATCGTAGAACTCCGCGAGGCTCAGAGACCGTCCCTGAGCGTCCCGGCGCACATCGACCATGACCGCCATCGCCATGGCTACGACGTAGTGGTGCTTCCCGCCTGCAAGCGGAGTAACCGGCGACGAGGAACGTGGTGAAGACTACGCCCGCCCCGAAGCCGATCAAGAAGGAGTTGTTCTCGTCTGGACGCTTGCTGTGCAAGTCGATCTGGTCCGCGACGTCCGCCCAGCCAATCGGCGGGCAGGGCGAGGGAGCTGGGCACACGCAGGCCGGACACACGCAGTCCGGACAGTCAGGAAAGTCAGAGGGTCCCAGACTCGCCGGGCACACTAGGCTCTTGACCGTCACGTTCTCGATGCGCTCCACGGCCTCTTCAACAGCGTAGTTGACAACGTGGTCAACCTCGGAGAGCAGATGCCAATGCAATGCCCCCCGCAAGATCAACCCCACCGACAGCAACGTCGCTGAGAGGTGCGATGGCAGCATCAAAAGAGACCTTGCTCTGATTCTTGAGCCAGAAGCTACAGATCGGTCAAAAAATTTGGTTCTCAGCATTTCGACCGCGCATTCCACGGGATCAAACCTACGGGGCAGAACGAAATGGGACTTCAAAAGGGCACCGACACTCAAGACCTCCCATCACTCATTCACGTGCCCCGCACACCCATGACGTTGACTCCCAGAGTTCTGGACCCCTTCCCCGGCACCAATGTTTCGTCCTGTGTCATTTTTTGACGGTCCTGGGTCCTGGGAAGGGCCTCCCGGAGACCGAAACTAGCGAAAAACCTCCCGTCGTGATATTTTCAGAGCGCGAGGGGTCTGTGCACCCGGGGAGGTCTCGTGGCCCCCGCCACGAGGTCCACCCACCCCTGGCCCTGACCCCCCCGCTCCTGGGCCCAGGATGGGCCTGGCCAGTGCCAGTGCCAGTGCCTCTCCTCCTCCTCCTTGCCCCGCCTCCTCGTCTTCCTCCTCCTCCTCTTCGTCCGCCTTCTCCTCCTCCTCCTCCTCCTCCTCCTCCTCCTCCTTCAGTCTTTTCCTTATGAATAATTTCTCCCTGCCGAACCCCGAAGCCAATTGTCAGGGCGGGCCGGGCGTTTCGCCTGAGACTTCCTCACCATTTATGACCCTGAAGCTTAACAATTGGCAACTGTTTCATAGATGGAGGGCGGGTCGTTTTCAAAATGTGGCTCTCGCCTTCGCGCCGCGCATATTCATTTTGAACATTTGCAAGAGCTCCACGGATTGAGGGCGGTTCCTTTTCAACATGTGGCTCTCGCCTTAGCGCCGCGGACATTCGTTTTGGACATTTGCAAAAGCTTCACGGATAGAGGGCGGGTCGTTTACAACATGCGGCTCTCCCCTTAGCGCCGCGCACGCTCGTGTTAAACATTTGCAAGAGCTTCACGGATTGAGGGCGGCTCCTTTTCGACATGTGGCTCTCGCCCCAGCACCGCACACATTGGATTTCAACATTTGCAAGAGTTTCACGGATTGAGGCCGGTTCCTTTTCAACATGTGGCTCTCGCCTTAGCGCTCTCGCCTTAGCGCCGCGGACATTCGCTTTGGACATTTGCAAGAGTTTCACGGATTGAGGGCGGCTCCTTTTCAAAATGTGGCTCTCGCCTTAGCGCCGCGCACATTCGCTGTAAGAAATCACAAGAGCTGCACACATTCACAAGCTCGGCGTACCAGAAATTGCGTTTTGGAAGGATTCACGACTATGAGGGTGCAACAGTTACGATGATTCGCGGTGTTGAAATTCCAGGAATGGCGTTCTGGCACGATTCAGCGTCGTCAAGGCGCAACAGTCAAGTTGAACCGTGGCGTTGGAATCCCAAGAACAATGCTTTGGCATGCTTCAGGGTCTTCAAACGGTTGTCTTCCAACGTGGCAGGTCGCTCCGTGGAAAAGACCCGTTGTATGGGGCCCATGAAGAGGGAGCTTGGGGGGAGGGTTTATTCCAACATCGTTGGTGACTCTTGTGTTTTTACACTGGTCCTCCTCCTCCGCCTCCTGCTCCTGCTCCTGCTCCTGCTCCTCCTCCTTTTCCTCCTCCGCCTCCTCCCCTCAAGTATCGACCCCAGGACCTTTCCATGGTGTGCGTTCAGGCAAGAATACCCAGGGGGGTCCAGCCTTCGCGCCGAGGAGGCTCTCGGAGGCCCAGCAGACAAGGAAGCCACTCAAAAAGGGTCAGCGAATCATGACCCGAGGCATCTGTACGGACCAAGGGAGCCAGGGGATGCACTGAACAAGAAAAGAATGGGCCATGACATGTTGGAGATTTCATGGCCCCAGCCGTGGTTTCAAAAGTCCCTGATCCTCACCCCCCTCTTCCACGCCTCGG